AATGTCAAATATTACATAATTTTTTTTTCCAAAAAATGAGCAAAATGGCAGGCAAAAAGAGAACCAAAAAACAAATTTTTGTTCTATTTGAAATTTTGTTAAAGATTTCAAGGAGCATTAGCTATAATTGATATTTGACTACCTTGCTTAATTTGAAATAAGAAATTATAATTTTAATTATTAAGAATTTTTGTTTTAATATTATGAAAACAAAGTTTGTATGTTGAAAGAATAAGAATGGTATTACTGTGAATATTAGAAATAAGTGGTTTTGTTGTCACTAAATTTTATTTATCTTGCTATATGATTTCTAATTCTATAAAATTAGGTTTAGGTATATCTTACATTTGAGATTAAAGGTGTCTTTTAAATGCTTTGCATTTTGGTTATTGCTGCCATGCGGATGCAGGCGCACATTCAGGGGAGTTCATATATGGCTTGGAAAACTTTGTTTACAAGGACGTCAAGCCTGGTGGGTATGCATGATTAATTATATTCAACTATATACAAATATATTTTTATTCATGCTTGTGTATAGTGAAGTCCATTTGACGGTGTGCCATACTTTAGAAAAATATGGAAATGTAATTTATGTCTTCACCGTTTACCATCTTTCCTTTTCCCTACCTTCTGCATCCATACATTCATTCATTCACTAAGTATTTGAGTGCCTTCTTGTGGCAAGTACATTGATGTCTAGGTTAGGTTAGATTTGGGACAGAAATAGTAAATGCTATATAGCCATCATTAATAAGAATGAATATAAAAGATTTTTGAGTGTATCTGAAGCAGGGGACTAAAGCCAGATATGGCATGGGTATACAAACATGATTCACTGCTCTTGGGAATCTCACAGTTTGATCTACATATGTCAATTTTGGACTGCCTTTTTTTCTGGTACAGTAATAATTTCTGAATTAAGCAGTTCCTCTCTCCTACAGCAGTGATTTTCAAACTTTTAAAAAGCAATAAAGTGGATTTTGTTTTCAGAGGCGGGAGAGAACAAGACTTTAATCAGAACCTTGATAAGTACTTGTGTTTCTGCTCATATCCTTCTGGATTGTTCACCTTTGTAGTAACTCCAGAGACACATCTAGACTACTGTCCTACTCAGCATATTGAGATTTGAAACTTCACAAAGGCAAAGTGAAGGCCATTTGCTTTAGGATTTATAGTAGGATTCTTTTATATACTAGGAAGTTGTCCAAATACAGCAATCAATTAAAAATTAATACTTGGATTTGTTGAACTTTATATAAGTCTTCAGGAACTTTCTGTATTAATTTAATGATGAATGAATGGCAAGTGCGTTTTATATTTTGTATTTTATTTACTTATATTTGAATTAGTCACATTTCTTTTTAAAAAATTTTTATTGATTTTTAAAAAAATAAACAACATCAGAATGCATTACAAATTTTATTACACATATATAGCAAATCTTTTCATATCTCTGGTTGTATATAAAGTAAGTTGGCACCAATTCATGTCTTCATACATGTACTTTGGGTAATGATGTCCATCACATTCCATCATCCTTGCTAATCCCCTGCCCCCTCCTTTTCCCTCCCACTCCTCTGCCCTATTTAGAGTTCGTCTATTCCTCCCATGCTCCCCATCCCTACCCCAAGATGAATCAGCCTTCTTATATCAGAGAAAACATTCGGC